GCTTTAAAAAAATTAAAAGTTATTTGAAGAAATGTAAAAAAGAATGCCCTTAACTCATATATGTAATGCAAATTCTGGAAAATACTAAAGTCTGAGTTTTGACTACAAATTATTTATAATTTTAATATCAAAGTGTATATTACAGTTTTTACTAAAATTTAGTAAATTTTATCTAGTTTTTACTAATGTAATAAAAAATAATGTCTGAAGAAAAAATTGAATGTCCTAAATTTATATACGAATTTATAATTAGTCCGCATTTCAACTACAAATTATTCAAAATTTCAATATCAAAGTGTATAAAACATTTTTTATTAGGTTTTAGTAAATTTGTTGTAGTTTTTACTAATGTGAACAAATTTAAGTGTTCGGAATGAAAATTTTGAATCATTTTAAAAAATTTAAAAAAAAATGTCTTTGCTAATAGAGTACTTTTTCTTTTTCTATTCCATGTTTTATTTAAGTTTGCTAGTCAGTAGAGTCCTTTTTTTGATTCTGTTATATATTTCAGTCTGTTTTTATTTCAGCTTGCTAAACAAAAAGGTAATCTTTTAATTTTGTCTCTTATATCAGCTTGATAGTAAGTAAAGTCCATTTTTTATTTTATGTTTTTTTCATTTCAGTTTGCTAAATAGAAGTCATTTTAAAAAATTGTTTTGTATTTGAATTTTATTGTTAGTAGAGTTCTTTTTTATTTCATGTTTTTTTTTATTTCAATTTGCTAGTCAGTAGAGTTCTATTTCAATTTCATGTCTATTATATATCTTATTAGAATACTAAAGTCTGCATTTCAACTACAAATTATTCATAATTTTAATATAAAAGTGTATATAACAGTTTTTACCAAAATTTAGTAAATTTTATCCAGTTTTTACTAATGTAAATAAATTATGATGTCCCAGAAGAAAATTACAAATTATTTGAATGAGTGTAAAAAAAAATGTCCTAACTTCATATATGTAATGCAAATTCTGAAAAATACTGAAGTCTGAGTTTCGACAACAAATTATACAAAATTTCAGTATCTAACAAGGTAACCATCAGGTTTACTCTTCTGGGATTTTAATGAAACTTCGCATGGTTGTAGGGTTGATGGTCAAACCGAACACCTTTAAATATTAGAGTCCTATGGGAAGCGGTTTAATTAAAAAAATTAAATAAAAATTGATTAAAACTGCTAAAAACGCGCTATGCGCTATGTCTACGCGCGTTGCGCTTCGTATCAATATGTCGAGATAGCCGAGTGGTTTGCGGCGCTTACTCTCAACTTTTTGTTCCAGGCCTAGGCTCACAGTCGCCAGTTCGAATCTCGCCAGAATATTTTTTTTTTAATTTATTTTTACATCTATTTGGTTAAATATTATAATAAATATTAATAATTTGTTACATGTACTACACAAATATGTGAAATTTATAATAAATAGTAGATATTTATGAAAGCATTCTGAAAATAAATACATTTGCATTGCATATTGATAAAATAAAATAAAACATTTTTTTTTATAAATGATATGTATTTAAACTAATATAATATCAAACATAAATAAATAATAATATAAAATAATATAAAACAAAAACTTCAGGGCTTACAATTTGCTAGATGATATTTATCATAAAAGCATGAAAAACATAAAAATATATTGCGGTGAGCACACTTTAAAAATGCTGCTGTGTTACATAAGAGCAAATTGTAAGCCCTGAAGTTTTTATTTTATATTATTACTTATTTATGTTTGATATTATATTAGTTTAAATACATATCATTTATAAAAAAAAATGTTTTATTTTATTTTATCAATATGCAATGCAAATGTATTTATTTTCAGAATGCTTTCATAAATATCTACTATTTATTATAAATTTCACATATTTGTGTAGTACATGTAACAAATTATTAATATTTATTATAATATTTAACCAAATAGATGTAAAAATAAATTAAAAAAAAAATATTCTGGCGAGATTCGAACTGGCGACTGTGAGCCTAGGCCTGGAACAAAAAGTTGAGAGTAAGCGCCGCAAACCACTCGGCTATCTCGACATATTGATACGAAGCGCAACGCGCGTAGACATAGCGCATAGCGCGTTTTTAGCAGTTTTAATCAATTTTTATTTAATTTTTTTAATTAAACCGCTTCCCATAGGACTCTAATATTTAAAGGTGTTCGGTTTGACTATCAACCCTACAACCATGCGAAGTTTCATCAAAATCCCAGAAGAGTAAACCTGATGGTTACCTTGTAAGTGTACATAACAGTTTTTACTAAATTCTGGTAAATTTTATCTAGTTTTTACTAATGTAATCAAATTATAATGTCTTAGAAGAGAATTAAAAGTTATTCAAAAGAAATGTAAAAAAATGTTCAAAATTCAAATCACATATTACTCAATATAGTATAGGGTCCCGCCAAATATATTTTTTTTTTACAAACTACTGAATATTTTCTAAAATTTCTTTTTTTATTTGAAAGAACAATCATTTCAGTTAATAATGAAATTAATTCAGTTAATAATGATTATAATAATTTCATTCAAAAATGAAGAAAAAAAAACCTCGGCTGACCGTTGAAAAAAAATGAAAATGAAAAATGTTAGATGGCATACCCTATACTAAAAATTAATAATCCGAAATTTATTCAAAATATAATTATGTAACTAGCAGTAAGTGGAATTCTGTCTTGAGGCAATTATGGCATCGTGCCTTAAGGCAAATTGCTGGAACTTCCCGTACGGTAACGAAATGTTCGAGGAATACTGAATGTTTTCAAATAGATTATTATAAATATTGTAACATTGTCTAATATTTATAAGAATTATATAAACTGAATTGCAGTGTTGAAATTATTTGTAAAGTATATTAGAACTATAGTCAGAATTAAAAATAAAATCTGAAATATTTTCGATATACACAAAACTAAAACAAAAAAAAAAAAAAAAGGAACAAAATTTTTTTGCCAAAATCAATTATTTTGTTAAGACAAGCAGAAAGTTCTTTGAATCATTTAAATCGGACGCTTAGTTCTCTCAAAAACTGCCATTTTTTACATATTTAGCTCCGTATCTTCGAAATGGCTGGGCCTGCCTTTGCCAAGAACTAATAAACACTTCTCCCAATCATTACTAATTGAATGTTTTTTAGATCATTCAAATCGAATACTCCGTTCTCTCAAAAATTCGATTTCTATTTTCTGCACTCTTTGCTCCTTATCTCCGAAACGGCTGGACCTGCCTTTGCCAAAAACTAATCAGCTCTTTTCCCTATCAATAGATATCGAATGTTTTTTGAACCATTCAAATCGGTTGATCCGTGCGCCCTAAAACGTGACTGGAAATTTGTATCCATACATACATACATACACACACACACACACACATCCTTTTTTTCTGAGGTATGCCAGTAAAATGTTCAGAAACCTTCAAAACGTCGAGAAATGTAAAAATTTTCAATTCCGATTTTCGGCCCATTACAATAACTTACCCTACGGGAAGTTAAAAAGTGTATACATAATAAATTTACTTGATTTTAGTATATTTTTGGGGCAATTCTGCCGTAATAGAGCTCATAACATCTATTTTATGCTTGTTTATTGGCAATGAAAATAGTGAAAATGTCTATCTATTTGCCGTGCGATCAGGCGTATTTTACATATAAACAAGCAAAGAAGAAGCATAAGATCAACGCAGATTCTGTTATAACATTCTTCCTTGCTTGTAAGTAAAATACGCCTGATCGCATAGCAAATACATAAACATTTATAGATCTATTATTTATCTATTACTACTTACATTTAGGTCCATCGTGAACAATGCTGAATACGTTAATAAATACTGTAACTCCGTAAAATACTGCAATACTCCTAAAACCGTTCCTCAAAGGATCCTTGGCTCTTAAAATAAACGTCCTTATCAAATAATAAATGCAAACTGAAATGGCACCGGACAAAGCTGGTGAAATGAACCAGGAGGCGACTATCGATGACAGGGTGCTCCAGTGTAGGCCCCTCGTGCCTCTTGCAACCAAACTGAAAAAAGTAGTAATAGTCAGTTGATATAATAGAAATATTTAAATAGTAATATCAATACAAATTTCCAAATAAATAAATACGTTCCAAAAGTAAATCATAAGTCATTTTATCATTTCTAATTCAATTTCAAAAAAAAAATCAAATATTTACACAAATTGAGAAAGTCCACCGATATAGTCACAGTCTAAACGCTGTTGCAAAAAAATTTGTACTGAGTTGTCACTTAGACTGTGCTTTGCTCGGCGACTTTTTTATGGTTTTTAATAATTTTCACACAAATACAAATTTCCAAATAAATAAATTCCAAAAGTAAATCATAAGTCAATTTACCATTTCGAATTCAATTTAATAAAAAAAATCAAAAATATTTACACAAATTGAAAAAGTGCTCGGTGTAGTCACAGTCTAAACGCTCTTGCAAAAACATTTGTACCGAGTTGTCACTTAGACTGTACTTTGCTCGGTGACATTTTTATAGTTTTAATAATTTTCTCACAAATACAAATTTCCAAATAAATGAATAAATAAATTCCAAAAGTAAATCATAAGTCAATTTATCATTTCGAATTCAATTTCAAAAAAATTGACAAATATTTACACAAATTGAAAAAGTGCCCCAGTATAGTCACAGTCTAAACGCTCTTGCATAACATTTGTACTGAGTTGTCACTTAGACTGTGCTTTACTCGGCGGCTTTTTGCATTTTTTAATAATTTTCACAAAATTCGAAAAATGCACCAGTATTATTTAACCGCTTCGGAGGTTAAATTCATATAAATCTCGGACTTTGCGAGTGGAAAGGGTTAGAGTTATATGTTTCGACACTTGATGTGTGTCATCATTTATTCATTCTTTATATTAACTTCCTGTAAGTTATTGTAATCGCAATAAAACAGAACAATTTTTTTTTATTTATCTTTACGTTTCAGAGGTTTCTGAACATTTTACTAACATTTCATTCACGATTTCGGGAGTATGGATCAACCGATTGGAATGATTCAAAAAGCATTTCAATAGCAATTCGATTCCTATTGAAAGGGAGAAGTGGTGATTAGTTTTTGGCAAAGGCAGGTCCAAATGTTTTGGAGATACGGAGCTAAATGTGCAAAAAATTGTAGGTTTTGATAGAAGGAAGCATCCGATTTAAATGATTCAAAGAACATTCAATTCGTAACCATAGGGAGAAGTGGTGATTAGTTTTTGGTGAAGGCAGGTCCAAACGTTTCGGGGATACGGAGTTAAATGTGCAAAAAATTTTAGGTTTTGAGAGAACAGTGCATCCGATTCGAATGATTCCAAAAAACATTGTGCTTTTATTGACAGTGAGAAAAAACTATTTGTTATTGGAAAAGGCTTTTTTAATTAAAAAAAAATTGTTTTTTGAAAATTAAAAATGATTTTCTTTCGAGATAAATTAAATTTTGGTTGAAAATTCAAAAAATTACCCAGACTAAGCACAGTCTAAGTCACAACCTGGAACAAATATACTTGCAAGTGCGTTTAGACTATGACGACATGGGAGCACTTTTCCAATTTTTATGCAAAATTGCAGAAATGTAACTTTGGGTTAATTTTTTCTTTTAAAATTAGCCAAACTAAGCACATCTAAATGACAATCTGATGCAAATATATTTGCAAGTGCGTTTAGACTGATTCTGTATCGGAGCACTTTCCAATTTTCATCTAAACTATAGAAATGTAATTTTCGAGTCAAAAATTCAAAAAATTACCTAGACTAAGCACAGTCTAAGTGACAACCTGGTACAAATGTTTTCGCAAGTGCGTTTAGACTGTTTATGTACTGGAGCGATTTTCCAATTTTGTGAAAACTATTTGAAAAATGTGAAAATGCCGCCAAGCTAAGCACAGTATAAGTGAAAATGACGCACAAAATTATTTGCAAATGCGTTTAGATTGTGGCTATATTGGAGCATTTTTTCAATTTAATGTAAAATTTACATTTACATTTTTTATGCAATTTTATGCGATGCCTCTTTTGAATTGAAATTCAAAAATTGAATTAAAAATAAAGTGAGGGTTGTTAATGATGCTGGACGTGCTGGAAACTTCGATAAAAATTGATTTATAATTTAAATTTGATTTGCGAACAAGTATGCTCACAAAAATAATAAAAGTTACAGTATTTATAATAATATATTCGAAAACATTTAATATTTCATTACGATACGGGAAGTTTCAGCAATTTGCCTTAAAGCACGATGCCGTACACCACATGTTTTTTTTTATATATTACAAATGTAACTCTGTGTCCAGATTAATAAATTGATTTTTTTCTAGGTCATTCCATAAAGTTCTATTTTTAAATTTTACTACATCACTTATCTTTAAATTTACAATATTTATTTAGGCGCCAGTGGTTCGTTCATTCATTTTTCTATTTGTACATTTGTTTAATGGAAAAACGCGTAAGTCATTACTCACGATGTGTGATTTGTTCATTAGTGTTCATTAGGACGTTTTTGTATGAGCTCTTAAGTTCAATTAGGTTGTTGAAAGAACACTTATAGAACATATAGGTCTCTATATTGTAGTAATTATAGATATTTATAGTTTTAAAAAGGTTCAGAGAACGTTGGAATTTATCTGCAATTTAATTAGATGCAAGATTGTCAGATTGTCCTTGCTATTAATCACTTTTATAAACTTATGCATTTTCCCTCAGAATTCAGTTGGTAAAATATTTTTTTTAAAATAAAGCAATATTTAAAATTGTACTAACGATAACAACTAGCTTTTCTGCAAGAGTTAATTAACAAATCTGTATACTAATTTGAGTGAATAAATCGTTATTTCTATTTTAAAAAAATTATTCATCAAAGGTTATAATTATTCTCTTGGATTTTTCATATGTTCTTTAAAAGTGCAACACGCTAGTAAAATATTTTTTTCAAAAATATAACAAAACTTGGAATTCAGCAAAAACACCAAATACTGTTTTTAAAATAGTTATTTGACAAATTTGTATCCTAATTTTAGCAAATTAGTTGATATTTCTATTTTAAATAAATTATTTACGAAAGGTTATATATATTCTCTTAGCTTTTTCATATGTTCTCTAAAAGAACACGCTGTTGAAATATATTTTAAAAATACAACAAAATTGTAAATTTACTAAAAATGCCAACTAATGCTTTTAAAATAGTTAATTAGCAAATCTGTTTACTAATTTTAAAAAATTAGCCAATATTTCTATATTAAATCAATTTTTTATAAACATAAATTTTCACATTTCGGAGTTTACTTGCTTTTTCATAGTGCATCCCGCTCAAAAAATATTTTTTAAAATATACTACAAAGCTTGAAATTTGCCAAAAATACCACTTACTGTTTCCCAAATAGTTGATTAACACATCTGTATACTATTTTTTGTAAATAAATCAATATTTCCATTTTAATTATTTTTTTGAATTTACAAAATCGGTTCAGAATTTTTCTCAAATTGCAAAAAGTTTAAGGAAAAATTTTGCACTCGATTGCTAATTACAAAGAAACGGCTTGACCGATCGTCATACAAAACTGACAAACGCAAGTCCATCATACATCAAATGGCTTTTAAATTTTTGAAATCGGTCCAGCAGTTTGAGAAAACGTCGAGGAAATCACGAAAAAAATCTGCTCACATACAAAAACTTCCAATTATAGTACCAAAATCTTGGAATTTTGGTGCCAAGCTATTCAGAATGACTTAAAACGCCAAGATAACATACAATTAGCAAATCGAAAATTCAGTCAAAATTTTAAAATATAAATTCAACTAGTTCATATTTTTTGAAGTAAAACTTCTTTAAGCATACTCGATTTTAAGGTGAGCGTTACGAAAAATGGAAATGATAATTGAAAAAATAAAGATAAATATTCGATTTTAAGATGAGACAGAGGAAAAAAACATTTCTTACAATAAGTTACAGTCGTAAAAATTCTGTAAAATTACCCTTTGCACTCAATTTGCACATTTATAGGGCAATTCTGCCGTAACAGAGCGCATAACAAAGCATGTCATTGCAATTTGCCGTGCGGTCAGGCGTATTTTACAAAAAAAACAAGTCCGGGGGAATGTTCGAGAAAATCTTCGATGATGCATCTTCCTTGTTTGTTTATATGTAAAATACGCCTGATCGCATGGCAAATAGATAAACATTTTCATAATTTTCAATACAAAGAATTAACATAAACTCTGTTACGCCAGAATTACCCCATTAATACGCATTTTTGGAGTACCATTTTGCATAATTTTTAATTCTTACTAATAATTTTTTTTATTTACCTGAAACCAGCAGTGGATCCAACAATACTGTGCGTAGCAGAAATGGGTAACCTCAAAACGTTGCTAATAACATACAAATGGCACTGCCACCCAAACTTGCAATACAACCCAACATCAGCTCTCGTTCAGCATCCTCGTACATCGATAAATCCAAAATACCCTTCCTCATTGTATCCGACACTTTATAACCTGGAAATAAAAATCAACCGATTACTAATAATAAACTATCGAGTACATCTATCAATTACTATCGATAGATTAGATAGATCTATTTTTTACATCTATCCTTTCCACTTACCGATTAAAACAGATCCACTGATCTCGAAGAAAGAAGCCAAATAACAAGCCTGTCTTATCGTGAGCACCTTAGACCCAACGCTGGTTCCAAATGAATTTGCCACATCATTTGCTCCGATGCCAAAGGCCATTCCAAATGCAACCAAAAATCCAACGATGATCAGCCATAACAAACTTGGCTCGTACGGTTCAATCATTGTTCCAAATTTTTTTTGTTTTAAGATTTTTTATGATTTATGATAAAAAAAATTTATAAAAATATAAATAAATATTTTTTGTTCTTAATATTAATATATATATGTATAGGAAAATAAATTTTGTTTATTATTAATATTTTTTTTTTTTTGGGTTTTGTTGAATATTAAATAATGTGGATTATTATGTTATAAATGAAGTTCAGAGTACGATTGGCTTTTGAAAAATACATAATGAAGTCTAGACATTTAAATCACGAACTACCTGGAACAAAAATAGAAGTTTTTTATTAAATTTAATAGAAAAACAAATTTCATCACATATACAATACATATTAAAGTACTGATATATTTTTTTAATAGATTTTTTAAATTAAAGTTGAAAAGTGTCATTTGGCGGTCAAAAATCTTTATTGGACAAATGTACATGAAATTATCAGATATATATAGATATTTTAATTTACACATTATGTATAATTTTTTTTGGGTTCCGTACCAAGATTTTTATTTTTAAAATCTACGTATATAGTTGATATCTTCGATAGTATGGGATAATCGATTTGTCTGAAAAATATTTCGTTTCGTACTTTTTTTTTTGCAAAAGGCAATTTTGCCGTTTCGGAGGTATGGAGAGCAAAGGGTGTAAAAATAGTTATGCAGTTTTTGCAAGAACGGATCATCCAATTAGATTAATTCAAAAAACATTTTTCTTGTGTAGACGGTGTGCAAAAAATGCATTTACAAAGGATTTAAAAATTTAGAAAATTTTCCAACAAAAAAAGTAAAATTTTCAAAAAAAATCAAACGTTCAAAAAATTCAAATTTTCGAAATTTTTCATTATTTCCAAAAAAAAAAAAAATTGAAAAAATAAAAAAAAAATCTTACAAAAATTTGAGAATATTTCGAAATTTTCAAAAAAAAAATCGAATATTTTCAAAGATTTTCAAATTCTCAAATATTTAGATAAAACTTTATTTTTAAATTCAAAAAATTTCATACTTCTCAAAAAAAATTTCAAAATATCGAAAAATTTCTAAATTATCAAAATTAAAAAATACTTTTAACTGCTAAATTAAATATATTTTTAAAAATTTAATGGTGCATAGCGCTCTGTAGTATTCTTAGAGTCGAAATTTAGAAGCGCGTAAGCGCCATGTCGCACTAAGACGTACAAACATTGATACGAAACGAAAAATAAAATTTGTACTGATTAAAATTTCTATAAAATATCAACATCTTGAACAGTTTTTCGTTTTTTTAATACAAAATGAATGTTTTTTGAATAATTCAAATCGAACGCTCCGTTCTCTCAAAAACTGAATTACCATTATCAGTTCGTATCTCCGTAACGCTGGACCTGCCTTTGCTGAAAACTAATTACCACTTTTCCCAATCATAACGAATTAAATGCTTTTTGAATCATTTAAATCGATTAATCTGTGTTCGTCAAATCGATGAAAATTTGTATCCGCACACACACACACACACACATCAATTTTTTAAGATATGCCTAAACGTTCAGAAATTTCTGAAACGTAAATTTTCATTTTCAATTTAAAATTTAGGAAGTTATAAATACTAAACAGTTTATTTAGAAAGTTAAAAATATTTTTATAAACAATTTACAAATATTGTTGAAAATGAACTTGATTCAACAAGAATTAAAATAAATTTAAAATTTTGAATTACTATTTACAATGAACAAGCAATCCTGAATTTTAATTATAATAGAAATTTCTTTAGTTTTTTTATTTAATTTAGTCTTAAAAAATGATTGAAGCATAACTTTTGCAATATATTTGCTTTTACAATTATTTTATGTATTAATTAAAATATGAATTAGTGTTTAATTAAATAAAAGTGTACAGGTGCCATAATATTTTATGAAACGTAAATTCTCAGTATTTGCATAATTATTTATTTGTCGAAATGTGGTGACAATAAAAAATGTGCTAATTAAATAATGGAATAATTAAGTCGTTAATTGATGTGAATAAAAGTTAAAAATTAAAGCAGCAGTTAATTTTATTAAAAATCTATTAGATGTTAAATCAAAATTAAGAACAACAGTTAATTATGAGAAATAATTAACTACAAAATCCGTATAACACGAATATAAATTACGAAACAATTTTCACCAAAAAATTGATTAGAACGTTTCGAATTAATATTTTAAATCAAAATCGGTTGATGAATTTTAACATTTGTTTTTTTTTTTCAAAAAAAGCTACCTTAATTATGCTATCAGTGTTTGTATCAGGAGAATGTTAAATGAAATACTTTAAAACGATTTCTTTAATGGCAAAACAAACAAATTTGTCCCTAAACTATTAAAATAAAATTGAATTTACACCGGCAGTAATTAACGTACATGATGATGTGCAAACATGAATGTTTTAATTAAAGAACTCTAGTAAACAGAATTCAAATAACTTTTTTAATGACATCGCATTTGACCTTTGAAGGAAAACCCTCAAAAGTACTTCATTACCTATTTATGTTACATTAAATTGTAACTTTTAATCACCTTAATTAACAACTTATGTATCCAATTATTTAATTAGCACAATTTTTATTATCACAATGTTTCGAAACAAAATAATGATGTAAAACTAGGAATGTTTCATACAATTTCATGGTACACGTGTAGAACAAATTTATTTAAATATTAATTAGTACATGTAAAAATTATACCATGAAGCAAGACGTTTATTATAAATTATTATATATGATTTATTTCTCAATTTTAATTAATAAAATTTAAACGAAAACAAATATCAAAAACCAGTCTTTTTTCGAAATTGGTATGAAAAAAATTGTATAAAGAATTTGTGTTTTAAAAGATATAATTAAAATAACACGTGTTCCTACACTTCTAAATAAATATTTATTTAATTAAGTTTTAATTAGTATACATATAAAATGTGCCAGAAGCGAAATGTAGTTTAAATTGATTTAATTCATAATTTTTTATATGAAAATACGAATTTTTTTGAGATGTTAAAAAATGCATAAAAATTGTCCAATTGTGCGAAATAAATATAACAATGAAGTAAAATAAAAAATATGTAAATGTTTTAAATAGTATATCTAATATACTATTTATAGTATTGCTAAAAAATTTTGATGCCACTTGAAATTAATGTTCAAATTTTACAAAACTTGCAGAATTCAATTTTAATTTTAATTTATTTTTTTATGATTTTTCATTTCAACTTCATTGGCAAAAATATATCATAATGTTATATTAAGAATTTAGAATCGAATTATTAAATATTTTATTTATTATCGTTATTGGAATTATTTAAAATTATTTTAATTTTAAACAAAAATGTATAAAACTTGCAAAGTAAATTAAAGAAAACTAAAAAATTAAATAAAAAGTGTATCTTATTAAAACGAATGAATTTCTTTTGCAATAAAAACAGGAATGCAAAATTGTATTAAACATTTGTAAGTGCAATATTTTAAAAAACAAAAAAAATATTAATGAAGCAAAAATTTTGAAAAATTATGATCACAATAATTTATTGTTGATTCATATTGTCATAAATAGAATTACATAATATTTTTGCATTAATTATTACTTACTGTTAGTTCAAAAAGGTAATTTTGCAGCAGCAATTTTTTTAGAACTTTTAGTTAATAAAATTTAAAAAAATAGAAGGATGCGATATTTTAAATGATTAATTATATATCCAAGATAATTATTATATTACATTTGATTTGTACGTGTATTTATTTAAATAAATTTAAAATAATGTGTATAGATATTTTAATGGCTTTTTGTAAAAATATATAAAAATTGTGCAAATTTAAAGCATTTGAAAAATAAGGTGAGTGAAACATAATATTTAGAGTATAGGAGTTTAGAAATGTTTAATTAGCATAAAATCAATTTAATATGTGTTCGAATTTAGTCTTTTAAAACATAAAATTGATGTGTGAAAACTTGAAAATGTTTACTATTAAAATTCAGCATAACAAATTACTTAAAAATTTATGAAATTTTTTGGAAGTTAACTATTTATTTATGAAATTATATAACTGAAAATGCTGTAAATGAATAAATACATAAGAATCTATCCAAAATTTCACTAAAAAAGTTTAGTACAAACAAATATTTTTGGGCATTGCAATAAATTTCTATTTTACTTCAATTTAATGTTCAAATTTTACAAAACTTGCACAAATCAATCTAATTAAATTTTTCAATAAGAAATTCACCATGACCACCATATGAAAATACACCATAATATAAAATAACTTAATTAAAAAATAATAAAAACTATGGAATTGTATTGTAAAGTAAAATTATCTTGTGCAAAAACAAAAATGTTCTTTAACAAAAATTCAGCATAACCCTAATTTCATAATTTAATAAGAAATTATAATACCAAAGTTGTGCAAATTAAATTAATGAAATAAATTCAAAAAAACCGCGCAAATCTTTTCATGAATTTCTTCAAATGTAATAATTATAAAAAACTAAACTTACTTAGTTATATTTATTATATTGATGTATTTATTATTTTAATTTATACTTATAATTTAATGTTCACGTTTTTATTTATTAGCAATTTAAAAAAATAATCTGAAATTGCACTTTTACAACAAAAAAATAATAAATAAAAATTTATAATTTAATATGAACACTCTAATCTTTTGGTGGCTGTTGGAAAAATACAGAAATTATTAAACTACACTTTTAAAACAAAATAATAAATTAGTGTAAAATTTTATGAATTTTATCTCAATATTAAAAATGCATATGTGCAAGTTTTGTAAAATTTAAACATAAACTTGATATAAAATTAGAAATATATAAAACATAAATAATTTATAATTTAGTACTATTTAATTTTTTTTTAAAGCAAAAAATCATTAAATTATAATATAAATTAATAGATTTAAAACATTTATTAATTTATTTAATACTATTTAAAATGCTATTGGTTTTCGACATTAAAACAAACAAAAACACTAAATAAACTTGAAAAAAAAATTAAATTATTGAAATACTAATTGAAAAAAATTAGATAATTGAAATAAATTTAAATACTTATGATTATCACAAAATTTAATGTATTTTAATTTAATATATTTATGCCTAATTTAATAATAAAATCATTAATTAAAGAATAAAAAATTAAAAGATTAAAAGATTAAAATAAAATTAAAATTAAAGAATGCACGAGTTGTATAATTATGCAAGATATTTTGAATAAAGAAAAATTAACAATTTGTTGTATGCTAAAGCAATTTATAAAAAAATCCAACTCAATTTAAAATACAGTATTAAAAAAATTAAAAATTGTGCAATTGTGAAAATTTAATATAAAAAATTGAAATAAAGTCAAAAACATGAGAAAAATGTTCAGTATTGAATTTCTGGAGTAGTGAAAACAGGAATGCAAAATTGTGAATTGTAATTTAACTAATATATATTATTTAAATTCAATTTAATGTTTAAATTTTACGAAACAATTTAATTTTATAATTATGTTTTAGATGCAAGTTTATTACCAAAAACTGTCATAATTTATTTATCTTAATGATTTAGCGTGTAATTATTTAAAAATATGTAGAATTATGAAATGAAGTATAAAAAAAACTTCAAGCATTCACTAAAATTTTCACTTTAATCCTAACTACATAATGTAGCAAGTAATTATTTATAATACCAAAGTTGTTCTAATTAAATTAAGAAAAAAAATGTGCAAATTTGCAAATTTTATAAATTCAAAAAAACCGCGCGAACCTTTCCACACAAACTTCTCGACAAATCGATTGCATTTGAGGTTGTGCAACAGGGGTGCAAAAATTCGTATGAGTCATTTGCATACATGTGCACTTATATAATTAATAAAATCAATCTCTACAAAGACTACATCACTTTAACCCTTATAAAACAAATAATAGAAATAAATAAAATACTATATAAATAAATAAAATACTATATAAATAAATAAAATCACATCTCACCCCGCCGGTAAATCATAGAAACGCCATTAAATAGAAAACACATACATGTCAAATAAAATTTAGATTTTATGTACAGTAGTATGATTTTTGTTATAATTGCTGTGATATAATTCATACCAGAACATTTATCCTCATACAGTATGTACGAATTATATCAAACAAATAAATTAAAACAAAATATATATATATATATGTATCCATTATCACTCACCATTAAAAGTACGGCCGCCCTTTAATCTAATTCAGGTACTGTATTAAGTGGCGCGAATCACAGACATTAACATCATACTATTATAATTTAAATTATTATTATTATAAACCATTATTACTACAATAACTCTGACATTTTGTCGTCGAAAATTGATTTTCACAATTCGCGAACGAACCGAACAACGATTTAGTTTAAGGATCAGCTGCTGCTGCGGCTAAGAGTGCCGATAATGCCGAGACGAGGCGAAGAGAGACGATGAGAGGCGATGGCGCACGAGGGAATAGAGAGTGAAGTTGGGTGTTAGGAGGAGGGCGCACTGGTGGAAGAGTTATTGATTTGATGGGGAATGGTTCTCAAAAGGTAAGAGGATAGAGGATTTGAAAATAAATAAATTTTACGAAGTTGATTTTTTAAGATATTTTTTTAATTACAATATTTAAGTAATTACATTTTTTTTTAATTACAATACTTGAAATAAATACAAACTGTTAAATAGTTAACATATAATATAATATACAACTGTTAAATAGTTAACATCTAGCAATATTGATAAATAATAACATAAATTTAAATAAATAAGAGTGCAAAGGATAGAATTTACATGAAAATAATATCATAATAATATCATAATAACATGATAATAATATATAATATTTATTTAAGAATGTGACCTATAGACGACCTGTAGAAAATAAGCGTGTTATGCGAATCCGTGTTGTAAGGTTGTCAAATATCTCCCTTCCGCCTTTTTGTACTATAAACCAAAAGCAAAAAAGCGGAAGGGAGATATCTGACAACCTAATATAAGGGACAAAAAACTAGTACAAAACGATAGGTTACGTTTCAAGAATTTAAAAAAAACACGCTATAATGATTTTATAATATTGTTACATTTATTCATTTTTTTAAGAAGTAATATACAATACTTGAATTATATGATTTTTAACTTCCCGTAGGGTAGTTATAGTAATGGGCCGAAAATCGAAACCGAAAATTTTTGCATTTCTCGACGTTTTCAAGGTTTCTGAATATTTTTAAAGGGCTTACCTCAAAAACTGAATGGATGTGTGTGTATGTGTGTTTTGTATGTCCACATTTTTTCGTCCACGTTTTCGGGCGCACAGATCAACTGATTTGAATGATTCATTTACCATTCGATTACTATTGATAGAAAGATTGCTGATTAGTTTTTGATAAAGCCAGGTCCAGTCGTTTCGGAGATATAGAGCAAAGAGTGCAGAAAATACAAATCGAGTTTTCGAGAGAACGGATCAATCGATTTGTATGATCCAAAAAACATTCAGTTCGTAATGACGGGGAAGAGTGGCTATTAGTTTTTGGCAAAGGCAGACCCAGCAGTTTCGGAGATGCAGAGCTAAATGTGCAAAAAATGGCAGTTTTTTATAAAAAATAAATTATATTTACTGTTTAAAGTGCATATTTTTAGTTTTTGGTTAATATCTTTAATATTTTGTTGGAAAAACTATTAAATTTTGTAACTTGTAATTAAAGTATATACGTTCAGGAATGTTATACTAAAATTATAATTCTCAACTATATATAGTACAGCTGATATAAATTTTAAAACTAATAATAATAATGTAAAAATGAAATTTGTATTCATTTTCTGTATCTTTTTATTTATTTTTGTAAGCGTATATTTTCAGTTTTTTGTTATATCTTCAGTATTTTGTTGAAAAAGTCTAATTTTTTTGAATCGTATTCAAAGTATATACTTTAAGGAATACTATACTAAAATTCAGCTCTTAACTATATATAGTACAGCCGGTATAATTTTTGTAAACTAAGGTATCCGTATTCTGAGTTAACATGTTGTGAGTGACAAATTTTTGTAAATTGTTTAAAAACTTGGATAATTTATTCAAAAACGTAAAATTTCAGACATGCACTTTATAGTATATGCTCTTGGAAATATTATACTAAATTCACAGCTCTTAACTATAAATAATACAGCTGGTTTGAATTTTTGAAACTAGGATAACCATATTGAGAGTAAAACGTTGTGAGTGACAAATTTTTGTAAATTGTTAAAAACTTGGATAATTATTCAAAAACGTAAAATTTCAGACATGCACTTTTATAGTATACGCTTTAAGGAATGTTATACTGAATTTACAGCTCTTAACTATATATAGCACAGCTGGTATAAATTTTCAAACAATAATAATGATATAAAAAAAATAAATTAGATATTTACTTTTTAAAGTACACATTTTAATTTTTTGTTAATATCTTTAGTATTTAGCAGTAAGGCAGGTCCAGCCGTCTTTTTTTATTTCCATAAAATATTTTTGTAATTTTGGATTAAAAATTCAAAAAATTACCCATGCTAAGCACAGTCTAAGCGCCACTCTGGTACAAATGTTTATTCAAGTGCGTTTAGACTGTTTATGTACCATTGAAAAATTTGAAAATACCGCCAAGCTAAGCACAGTATAAGTGAAAATGTCGCACAGAATTATTTGCAAATGCGTTTAGACTGTGACTATGTGGGAGCACTTTTTCAATTTTGTGTAAATTAGGCAACTATTTTTTTCTGAAATTGAATTCGAAATGAAATGGCGATTATTAATGTTCTGAAGATAAATTGATTGATTTATGATTTATTCTATTACCATGTTGAGAACCGCAGGGCTTCCCAACGACGTATTTAATTAACGCGTATGTATTTGCATAAATAATAAAAGTTTATTTCAGCCTAAAAAAAGCTAAGTCAAATATTGCATCAAAAAATGTAAAAATAACGTAATTAATGATTAGACAAAATAATTTATTTGATTTGAATTTGTTAATTAAAATCCGCGCCATAGTGCGCCGCCATATTGTGGCACTGTCAACCTTTCGACTTGCGCGAATTTCAAATCAGTGCCTTTCAAAATCGTGTCAAATTTTTGACAGAAGTCAAAAATGTTTACAATATTTTCCAAAACTCATTTATCATAAACAACTGCAAACGATACAAAAACAATGGCTTTAAGAAAATAACTTCGATCAGACATCTATACATCTGGTGATTGACTTTTGTATAATTAAATTTGTAAAATTTTAGGTTATGGTGCACAATTTGATTTCGAATAAAACAATGATTTATGAATTTATTTTCAGTAAACAATACACCAGCAGAATTTGCAAAATATAAAATCAATATAGTATATTTAACAAAAGTAATTTTGAAATTCGTTGTAAAAGTATAAGGAATTTTAGAAGATCACGAGATGGTCAGACGACGAAAGATAACTTTCAGCAAGTTGAGACTCCGTTTCAGGGGGTACACGTTGAAACCGGGCCTGTGCATTATAGCACTTTGATAAGACCTTTGGGATTCACAATCGCTGTAGGTATAATTGAGATAAACCCATACACAACACTTAAAAAAACAAACCTAGCCTTCATTTACAACTTTTTTCTACCCTTCATTTCTCTTTTTCTAGTTTACTTGTGCTAGTGTAGTTGCAACATCGATTTGGCAATATGAAAACTTAAGAAGTAGAGTTTCTAATGCAGTACGAAATCCTGTTGGATGGATTCAGAATAAGTTGCAATATCCCACACACAAAGCAGTAAGATTACAAAAAAAAAACACAAATTTATACCACACATACAAGTATTTTTATTTTTTTGTTTTATTAGATAGGTTGGAGACGAGACCTAAATAACTGGTGGAAAAATCTGTCAGATGCTGAAAAATTATTTATACCAATTTGTTTTCTGAATGTCTTAGTGTTTGGAGCGTGGCGTGTGCCTCAATTCCAACCGGCAATGGTTAAATATTTTTGCTCAAATCCTGCCAGTCGTAAGTACAATTATAATATTAATTATTAAGTTAAAATTATTTATTAATGGTATTTTTTTCCAGGTGCAATTTGTTGGCCAATGTTTTTGTCTACGTTTAGTCATTACTCGTTTTTTCACTTGGTAGCAAATATGTATGTTCTGCATAGTTTTAGTTCAGGTTAGTATTTTCTTTTTAATTATTTTTTTTTTTTATTAGGAAATTTCACAAAAAGAAAAAAGATTACAGAAATAAAAATAGGAGGGGATGGATTTTTTTTAGTGACTTTCATTTCTTTAAGACAAATTTTATTTCTATTAACAGTTTTAAATAATATCTAGCATTTTTTAATTAACATTTTAAAGCAAAAACAAATCCATTTATATAATATTTAAAATGGGATTTTAATTGAAGTAAGAAATGATATGTTTGCTTTCTTTTTTCTGCAAAAAATTGTTTAATAGTTGTTCCAGATAGTTTTAGTATTTTTCTCAGACTAATTATCATTTTTGTCACGTAATTTACAATATTTTCCAATAATGTACAATATTTTTGTACTATTTTCACAATTTTCAGACAAACTACAACATTTTTGCAGTAAAACATCCTAAAAATAAAAATGTTCAGACAAAATACAACATTTTTAGACAATCTACATTTTCAGACAATCTGTAAGATTTTTAAATGATCTGAAAGATATTTAGATAATTTACAAGATTTTCAGACAATCTGCAAGATTTTTTGTACATCTTACATAATTTTCAATCAGCCGATAACATTTTTGGGCAATCTACAAAATTTTCAGACAACCTACAATAATTTTCAAATATATTGCATCATTTCCCAAACATTTCTAGATAATTAACAATATTTTTAGATAACCTGTTGCAGATTGTCAGAAAATCTTGTAAATTGTCAGAAAAAAAAGTTCTAGTATTATTAGAAATGTTTAAAATTT